AGATGCCATGATCTTAGTTTTCTGAATGTTGAGCTTTAAGCCAACTTTTTCACTCTCCTCTTTCACTTTCATCAAGAGGCTCTTTAGTTCTTCTTCACTTTCTGCCATAAGGGTGGTGTCATCTGCATATCTGAGGTTATTGATATTTCTCCCAGCAATCTTGATTCCAGCTTGTGCTTCCTCCAGCCCAGCGTTTCTCATGATGTCCTCTGCATAGAAGTTAAATAAGAAGGGTGACAATATGCAGCCTTGATGTACTCCTTTTCCTATTTGAAACCAGTCGGTTGTTCCATGCCCAGTTCTAACTGTTGCTTCCTGACCTGCATAAAGGTTTCTCAAGAGACAGGTCAAACGGTCTGGTATTCTCAGACCTTTCAGAATTTTCCAGTGCAGAGGACCAAGGCCCGGGTCTTGGTCCCTGGTCAGGGAACTGGTTCCCACAGGCTGCAACTGAAGATCCGATGTCGTGCAACTAAGACTCAATGCAGCCAAATAAATAATTAAAAAAAAAAAAAAAAAGAAACAGAAATTGAGGAAACAATCGCATTTACCATCACATCAAAAAGAATAAAATACTTAGGAATGAATCTACCTAAGGAGGCAAAAGACGTATACTTGGAAAACTGTAAGACACTGATTGAAGCTGAAACTCCAGTCCTTTGGCCACCTGATTTGGAGAGCTGACTCATTTGAAAAGACCGTGATGCTGGGAAAGATTGAGGGCAGGAGGAGAAAGGGACGACAGAGAGTATTTTTTTTGTAAGCAGCATGGGAGTATTTATTCTGTTCACATTTTGTGTTGTGTTAGTCACTCAATCATGTCCGATTCCTTGGGACCCCATGGACAGTAGTCCACCAGTCTCCTCTGCCCATGGAATTTTCCAGGCAAGAATACTGGAAGCAGGTTGCCATTCCCTTCTTCAGGGGATCTTCCCAACCCAGGAATTGAACCCAGGCTTCCCGCATTATGGTCAGATTCTTGAGCATCTGAGTCACCAGGGGAGCCCCTCTGTTCATATTCAGTGTGATACGTTAGATTTTACTCTTCTCATCTTCTGCTTATTCATTATTTATTGTAACTGTTTCCTGTCCCCTTTCCTCCATCCTGATGGGACTGTTGGCAGTGGGGGCAGTCGAAGCAGGGGTTCTTTGTTAGTATCCAGCTGCTGTGGGTGAAGCTGTCACCAGCAGTTCTGGTCACTAGAGCAGCTAGCAGCATAGTCTGGAGGCTTCCTGGCAGTGAAGCCTCCAAATCCAGTTCCTTGTCTTTCCTAGAGATTCCATGAACCATCTAACATCTTTCTATTGAATGTTATTTTGTTTCAATTAGCCAGGGATGCCTGTTGCTTCAACCAAGAACACTGGAAAACACAGCTTCAAGTGTGTTCTTTCCCCAGTCAAGTCTGTGGTCAACTTCATGCGATAAAGTTTTACTTTACCTATTAAAAATATTTGATTTATTATTTTACTTGGCTGTGCCAGGTCGTAGTTGTAACATGTGGGTCTTTTGGTTTTGGTCTGCAGAATCTTTAGTTGTGGCATGTGGGATCTCGTTGTCCCCTGACCAGGGCTCAAACCCTGGCCCTTTGCATTGGGAGCAAGGAGTCTTAGCCACTGAAACACCAGGGAAGTCCTTTTCTTATTTATTTAGACAAATGTTAGATACAGAGAAGGAATAGAGCATCGTTGAACCACAAAATGATCCCACTATTCCAGACTCTACTAGGAATTCTAAAGCAAATTTTTCCTTAACCACACAGCCACCTCGTCCCACGTTAAAGCAAATTTTTCCTTAGTGTTGTAACACTAAAGTTCTTTGTACTCATCTTTTAATGAAGGAAAGACTAATCCTAACCTAACCCTTTTAGAAAGTAACCCAAGTTTTACAGACTTTCAAATTATCTTTATTTTTTTTTTAATTAAAAAATATTTTCCCACTTAGAAGAAAGGTCTCTGGACTCGGGCGAGGGTCAGGCATGCCTGTGGAGCTTGTTACTCGATCCTGAGAGTCAGCAGTTTACGAAGCATTAAGATGCCCCAGAAACTGTCATCTTGAGTCACTTCTTAATAACAAAGGGGATGAAAGTCTGATGCTCAAGCCTCTGAAGATCTTTTCTAAATTGGGGCCTGTTGAGAGAGGAATGAGAAAGCTTTGATTGTCAGGAAACTGTGAGGGAGGTAGGGGAGGAGAGGTGATACTGAAAATGCAGGGACTGGAACCGAGTCAAGGTGTGCCATGGAGGCCTGGAGAGAAACAGAGAGCTAACGAGAATTTATTAAGGGACTTCCCTGGTGGTCCAGTGATAAAGAGTCTGCCTTCCAATGTAGGGGGCTCGAGTTCGAACCCTGGTAGAGGAACTAATATCCCACATGCTGCAGGGCATCTAAGAGGCTGCATGCCACAGAGAAGTGTCAGTCACTCAGTCATGGCTGACTCTTTGCAGCCCCATGGGCTATAGTCCACAGTAGCCCACCAGGCTCCCCTGTCCATGGACTTCTCCAGGCAAGAACGTGGGAGTGGCTATCCATTCCCTTCTCCAGGGGATCTTCCTGATCCAGGGATCAAATCCAGATCTCCTGCATTGCAAGCAGATTCTTTACCATCTGAGCCACCAGGAAAGCCACAAAGAAGATCTGAAGCAAACAAACAAAAAGGATCTATCAAGAGAGAGATGGAAGGAACTGCCAACGCCTGGGAGCGGGGACCAAAGGAGGTGTCATGAGAGGAGAGAAAGGAGTGGGGAGTGGGAGACAGCAAGGAGATGACAGATGACAGAAGGGGGGAGGCTGAAGCTGGGAAGGGAGCGGGGGAGAGGCCAGGGACCTGCCTTGGGGCCAGCTTCTCACCATCAGGATCCTCTGGAGCCTTCGTGTTATGCTCGCACTGTATTGCTGCAGCTTCTCCCAGGGCTGGAAGGGCCTTGACTGGTTGTCCACAAACTCTTCCCAGCAGTCTTCAAACTCTTGAGATGAGAGAGAGAAACGGAGTCAGGCCCTGAGGGCAGGGGAGCAGCAAGCAACCCAGGTTCCCTCCTTCCTTCCCCCTTTTTTCTCTTCCTCTTCCTGGAATTTCCCCTTCCAGGTGGTATCACACCTTGTGTCTCAGCTGGGCCTCCATCCTTCCTGTCCAGCCTCCCCTCTTCCCCTCTCCCACTCAGTGGCTTTCCCTCTTGGAACCTGCAGACCCTCCAGGCCACCAACAGCTCTGTCTCTCTCCCTACCTGTGTGGGTCATGACAGCCACTGAGATCCCGGCTGCCTGCAGCTGCTGCAGCCCCCTCTGGAACGGCTTTTTCCAGTGAAAGTACAGGCGGGAGGCAAAGATCTGCAGGTTCAGGTGGTCATTTCCGGTGATGAAATCGACCAGCTCACTGGCACATCTCGGGCAAGGGCTCCATGTGATATAGCAGATGATTTTGTAGCTCTGCCTCCGGTCCAGATTCAGCGAGTTGATCTTGTCAATAAAGCGAATTTCTGCATGCCGCTGCTTCTGGAGAGGGTTCCAGACAGAGAGCAGGAAGGGCTGGTTAGAAGGCAGAGGCCAGAGGTCACACATGGAGGGTGAATTTGGGGATGAGGGGCTCTATCCTGTGAACTTTTCAGTGTGTGAGCTTACCTATAGCACAAGGAAAGAACCTCCTTTTGTTCATTACGGATTCCTTCACTCACCCACTCATCCATTAATTCCACACATCTGTATCTTGATCAGAATCTGATCAGGGTCCTTGTGACCAGAGGAGACAGGTTGTAGACCAGACAGCCCCAGGGCTTCGTAGTTATTTAGTCACTAAGTCGTGTCTAACTCTTTGCAACCCCATGGACTGTAGCCCACCAGTCGCCTCTGTCTATGGGATTTCCAGAGGCAAGGATATTGGAGTGGGTTGCCATTCTCTTCTCCAGGGGATCTCCCTGACCCAGGGATCAAACCCACGTCTCCAGAATTGGCAGGCGGATTCTTTACCACTGAGCCACCAGGTAGAGTGTGACCTGGTATTTGGACACAATCAGGAGGTTGTCTGGAGATGTTTGAACCTGAGGATACCAAGGAGCAGGTCGGGGAGGGAGAGAGGAAGAACAGACAGGTAGAAAGATGAGCAGAAAGACAGAAATGTGATGGAGATCTTGCAGGTGAGGTTAGGTGCTCAGTCCTTGGAAGAGTGGTTGGCTTCCTGGAGTGATGACTGAGCTGAGACCTGGAAGATGAGAAAACATGAACTTCTCAAAGAGGAGCAGGAAGACATTGTGCTGGAGGGAAGGGCTTCTGTGGTGGCCTGGGGATGGGGAAGGAGGAGGAGAGTTCCTAGGAAGCTGGGTTAACTCAGACTCTGCTAAGCCTCGGGATTTTCCCTGCACGAATGGGGTTAGCCCCTGCCTGCCCTGTACCCGGAGGACCCATTTGGCACCTTGTTTCGGAAGCAGCCTCTGTTAAGCGTTGAGTCGTCAAGCTGCTTCAGCTGGTAGCACAGGTAGGTTTTCCTCCGGTAGTGAGGTGGTGGGACCCGGGGCTGGTTGCCAAATTGATGCTTGAACAGAGCTTCTCTTAGCAGGTTCATTGTGTTTCTGTGCAATAAGGAAGGAGAAAATCCAAGATGCAGACAGCATTCTTTCTCTGGCATCACCCTAGGCTCTGAACCTCATTCTGAACCCAATTCCTTGGGCTCGCCTGGGCCGTTAAGAGGAGGTACAGGAGGGTCTCTTCCTTCTTGGCTGACCAGGGGGACCGGGGAGGGAGACGGAAGAATGTGAGTTCTCCCACCTCAAAGACCACCTCCCACCTCTGGCCTGAAAGAGACCCCCTGCCCCACTCCAGCCCACACTAGAGGACTCTGCAGGCAGGATGCCTTTGCTGGGATGGGGCAGGGGTGCCCTGAGAATTGAACATGGCATGTCCTTCCTCGGCTCTCTCATCTTTGTCCTGAGCCCCAGACCCCTCTGTGTAGGTACCATATGCAGCTCAATCGCATTTAGAACCCCTTCTCTTTGGGGAGTTGGGGGGATGGAAGCTGGTGTTTTTTCCTTTAACTCTTTGTGCCCCTGGCTGAGCTATGTGTATCACACTTTTGTCTGTAGAAAGAGCTCAGAGGCACATGACCAGGAAAAACTGCTGTCACCAAGGGTGTGTTGCAACAGGCACTTATCGAAAAAGCTCTCACTTAGCTTTTATCCCCCCACCCATTATGCTTGTACTCTGTAAAGTATTTCGTTTTGTATCTTGCTTTCTTTCATGTAATACATTGCAAAGTGGCCCAGCCCATGTGGGAATGCAGAACCACCAGGTTCTAGTATGTGAGCTTGCCTACAGCACAAGGAAAGAACCTCCTTCTTTCCTTCATTATGTATTCCTTCACTCACTCACTCATCCATTAATCTCACACTCCTCGAGCATCTGTATCTTGATCAGAATCCAATCAGGGCCCCTGGGGCCAGAGGAGTTGGGTTGTAGACCAAACACCCCCAGGGCTTCATAGTTGTTTAGCTACTAAGTCGTATCTGGCTCTTTGTGACCCCATGGACTATAGCCTGCCAGGCTCCTCTGTCCGAGGGATTTCAGTAAATCCCATTTCTTTTCAATAAATGCTGCTGGCTCTGCACAGATTGAAGCAGGTGGACACAACCGGGAGCCTTCCTGCCAGACCCCAGGGAGGTGCGTGAAGGCGTGCTCTGGCCGGAGCCCCACCGCATGTGCACACTCAAGACCAAGCAGATACCAGTCTGAACAAGCTTGGGAGGCTTGATGGCCTCAGATCCGGTGGTCCTTTTGGACCCTCCACCCAATGTAATGTCACTTGGCCTATCATTGCATCAGACACAGGTGATCTCAGGGCATCAGAATAGGCATCTGGACACAGGAACCAAACCAAGCGTGCCCTCACAGCCCAGACCCCAGGTTGCAACAATCTGTGCCTACAAGGCCGGAAAAGCTTCGCCATATTTCCAGCTGACTCACTGAAATACCACCAGTTCCACCGATGAAAAACCATTTCTGGTATCTGTTATGCTAATTAGCAAAGCTACAGATTTCACCAGTGGAAACCTATCTCATCAATGGAAACCTATCTCATCAATGGAAACCTATCTCATCAATGGAAACCTAACATCCCTCATGTTAATCAGGAAAACTTTAGGTGGATTTGGAGAACAACTGCTAAAGAGACCATCTCTGGACTGTGACCTTTCGTTACCGGCCACTGACCTCCCCTGAAGTTCATACTCCCAGGGAGGGGAACAGGCGGCCAGATTAGAAGGGAAATCCCATTTGCATCACATCTAAGACAACCGTTGCTGCCCCATCTGCCCGGAGTCTTCCTGATTTTAGCCCTGAAGTCCCCATGTTCTGGGAAATTCCCCAGTCCTGGGGACACTCAGACAACTCAAGGCTGAGACCCTTCACGTTTCAGACAAGAGGACTTATCTTCATAGCACATATGTTGCACCTTGACCTTGAATAGCTAAAACTGTAGGTGTGACAGAAACAACCTTTAAGAAGTATTTAAAGACCAATTGAATTTTTCAACTTGGTAGTGTCTTCATGGGAAATGAGCTGTCTTCTTATCTTGGAGAGTTTTCCCCCCACAGAGCAGAAATGAGAGTATTCTTTTGCAAAATTGTGCCTTTAAAATAGTTTTACAAAAATGCTTTTGTAGCTGACTCCAGACATTGTTTCAATCATCCTTGAACCTAATGTCTAGGATTGAGGGTACACAGAAAGCTTCAGAAAGACTTGGGCTCCATGTCTATGGAATATGGCCAGGGACAGACAGACAGATGGCCAGGGGTACAGAGAGACAGGCTGTGGCAGAGGCGAGGCTGGGAGGCCTGAGGCAAGAGGAGGCACAGAAGCGGAGCCCTGCAGGGAAGGTGCCAGAGAGAGAACCTAGCGCTGGGAGTGGATGGTGGCCAAGCCCGAGGCTGAGAGGAGAACTGGCATCGATACCTGGTCCCCGCAGCCTGGCTCCAGCCCCCTTGGCAGCTTGCCCTGGCACTGGGCTCTCTGGCTCCACCTCCCTCTCAGCAGGCTGCCCTTGGCCTTGGGAGAGTCCCTTATCTGAGAATGTTCCCCCACAGCTTTCCAAGTAGCAGATACCCTTCTGGGCTAGGGAAGCTGAGGCGGGAGGTCCTGTGAGGCTGCCAGGGCTAACACCATGACAGGCAGCCCGGACCTAAGTTTTGGTTTCCCCGAAATGGTAAGGTTCCCTACCCCCAACAGGCCACCTGGTGCCAGCCAATCAATATGCACCCAGTAAGAAAAAGAGAATCTATCAGGGGAAAGCTGAAAAGCCCGCGAACGCCCAAGTTTGAAAAAAGCCTGAGAAAGTTTGGACCAATAAAATTGCTTTGCAAACATGTAACCAATCCGCTTAAGCCAGCTACCAACTGCTTATGCTCACCCTATAAATTTGTGTAACAGCTTGGGCTCGGGGCTCTCTGACCCCGCACCACTGCGTTGGATGTGGCAGGAGCCCTGACTCCAGTCAGCAATAAACTTCCCTTTTTGCGAGTTGCATTGTCTTGGAGGCCTTCTCTCTTCCCACTCAGAGATTCGGACATCGGGCATAACAGTCCTAGGCTGGTTTTCTTTTTCTGCATCCTCTTCCTCCTCCCGGGCTCTTGACTTACCTGGTCCCGGGAGTCCAAATGCAATCTGCTTGCTCAGAAAGGCCTGACCCAGCCCAGCCCTCTGTCATTGACACTCTGCCTCTGTTTCCTCTCCCAGGACCCTTGCTTTTAGGACAGCCCCTGATCTGAAAGCAACCTCCCAGCCAGCTCAGCTGAGGCCCCGCCCCCTTCCTGTTTTGGCACCGGGGGTGGGAGGGCCCAGGGATGCTTTGCTTCCTTGGGCTCAGACCCACCTTCTCTGGGGCCCTCCCTCTTGGCAGAGCTCAGCCTCTGATGGATGGGCAGGACCGACAGTACTGCAGAGGGGAAACAGAAAGTGAAGATGCCAGCGAGGGGGATGGGCCAGACCCTGGCTGTAGAGAGCAGGACAGAGGCTGCTCCCACTGGGGGAGGGGCAGGCTGGTGCTCTCTCCACCCCACCAGGGCATGGTACTTAGTTGTCATTCAGTATCCTGGCAAGACTCTGGGAAGAATGGAAAAGGAGGCCTGGGGGTCAGCACTCCAGATCGTCATCTCCAGCCCTGTGTTGGGCAGATCTGTGCACCTTCAGTCACCCCAGCGCCCCAACAGCCTCGAGCAGGGAGGATCGTTATCCTGACATTTTAGATGAAGTCATAGCACAGCGAGGCTAAGACACTCTCTTGAGGTCACACAACAAATAAACGGAAGAACTGGAAAGCTGTCCAGGCAGCCTGGCCCGGCTCCCTCCGGCTGCTTCCCCATTGTTCCATGAAAAGGTGTGGGCGGAGGGTGGGTACAAAAGAAAGGGTAAGCTGCTTGCTTACCCTTGTCATGTCAAGACCTCCAGATGAAAAAGTAGCTCTGGGGAAAGGGGAAACCTAGGGAGGAGGTCTTAGAGCAGTCATGGCCACCTCCGGTCCAGACTGCACACAGATTCGACTCCTAAGTCAATTTTTCCCAGCTTGTCATCTCACTGCTCTCAGACCCTGCATACACCCCCTTTCTGCCCCATAGGCCCTGGTGTGGCCTCGGGGGTAACAAGAGCTTGGGCAGGAAGTTAGAGGATCTAGAAGAATGGTGTCCCCTTTACCTCCCTTTGTCCTAATGCCCAGGGTCAAAGCCAATGGAAAATTCTAGAATGATCTGGGTCCTTCTGGGAAGGCTGATCAGATCTGCATACTGAAGTGTTGGTCAGACTCAGCGAACTAAGTCACCCCTGGCCTGAGAAGCAGGAAGGATGGACAAGAAGGTTGAAACCCTTTGCTGGCCTTTGCCTGATGACAGCAATCCTCTAGCCCCGGCCCTAGAGATGCCTGTGAGCTGCCTGAGATGGGCCGAGATGCAGGCGTGCTGGGAGCGGGACATTTTGAGCTGGCCACTGTGGCCCTCTTAATGCTGGAGACAATCAGGAGGTGTGCCATCCACAGGTGGGCCTCCCTCCTTGAAGGAAACACCGACAGGGAAGGCATCGAGGCAGATGAGCTGAAGCAGCCAGGGACCCCCGGGACTCTGCTGAGGACCCCCAGGCAGCAGTGCAAACAGGAGGGGAGAGCGAATGGACAAGCGTTTGCTGCTACTGACAATTCACAGCCAGACGCCAAGAGGAATGGGACCCCCGACCTTCTCCACGAGGACTTTATGACAGATTCCAAACCGATGGCTTCTCACTTCCTGGTCCTTCCTGTACCTCTGGTGGCCCAGAAACCCAGCTCATCAGGAGCTTACTCCTTTTACCCCTCCCCACAGTCCCCACCACCCTTTCTGGAATCTCCACTGAGTTCCTCCTCGGTGCATTTACGTGGCTGCTGGCTCTGCAATCACAGGGCCAGACACTCGAGTTCTGATCTACCTTGAGCAGCTGAGCTCAGGTCTCTGACCTGACTCCTGGTGGCCCTTCCACTTTCTGTTCTGCTTTTGGGAAAATCCATCATCTCAATCCTCATGTGCCCAATCCTACTTTTTCCCCTAAAGGCTTATTTAAATGTAAATTTAACCATTAACTTTCCCCCGCTCCCCACTCACTCTCCATCACCATCCTCAGAGCTTCATCACTGGCAGCAACGTGGGGATGGGACCAAGAATGAGCAGAGTGATCTCGGGCTGTGACGATGTCAGAGTGAAGGTGGGGTGAGGGTGGGGTTGTGGGGGCACCCAGGTCTAGAATGGAAGCCAACGAGTCAGGGTCAAGGGGTGGGGGCGTGACCTGGAGATAGGCACACAGGACCAGGATCCCGCCGCCACTGCACCCACTCAGCTCAAAGATGCCCTTGGCCATTGTAGGGGCTGAACTGTGAGCCCCAAATCCATATTCCGAAGTCCCGACCTCCACTTCCTCAGAACGTGACCATAACTGACATAGGACCTTGAAGGCAGTAATTGAATTAAGAGCAAGCTCTTAGGGCAGGGGTCCCCAGCCTCCGGGCCATGGACTGGTACCTGCCTGTGGTCTGTTAGCAACTGGGCTGCTCTGCAGGAGGTGAGCGGTGGGCAAGCAAGCAAAGCTTTATCTGTATTTACAGCCACTTCCCATTGTTTACGTTACTGCCTGAGCTCCGCCTCCCATCAGGTCAGGGGCAGCATTAGATTCTCACAGAAGCATAAATAGGGCTTCCCAGGTGGCATTAGTGGTAAAGAACCCACCTGCCAATGCAGGAGCCAGAAGAGACTCAGGTTCAATCCCTGGGTCGGGAAGATCTCCTGCGGGAGGGCTTGGCAATCCACTCCAGTATTCTTGCCTGGAGAATCCCATGGACAGAGGAGCCCGGTGGGCTACAGTCCATGGGATGGCAAAGAGCTGGAAATGACTGAAGCAACTTAGCTCACACATACAAGAGTGCAAACCCTACTGTGAACTGTGCAATCAAGGGACCTAGGTTCCATGCTCTTTATGAGAATAATCCCCAAACCATCCTCTTCCCAACGCTCCAGTCCGTGGAAAAACACTGTCTTCCATGAAACTGGTTCCTGGTGCCAAAAAGGTTGGGGACCACAGTCTTAGGGTGACTCTTAATCCAATCTGACTGATGTCCTTATGCGTGCTAAGTTGTTTCAGTCATGTCCGACTCTTTGCAACCATATGGTCTGTAGCCTGCCGGGCTCCTCTGGCCCTAGGATTCTTTAGGCAAGAACACTGGAATGGGTTGCCATGCCCTTCTCCAGGGGATCTTCCTGACCCAGGGATTGAACTTGCATCCAATGTCTCCTGCATTGGCAGGCGGGTTCTTTACCACTAGCGCCACCTGGGAAGCCCTGACATCCTTATAAGAAGAGGAAATTGGGACCCACAGAGGGACACCAGGGGCTCCCTAGGGGTCACGCACAGAAGAAAGACCATCTGGGGACACAGTGAAAAGGCAGCCACCTGCAGCCGAGGAGAGAGGCCACAGGAAAACCCAGCCTGCCAGCACCTTGGTCTTGGACTTCTAGCCTCCATGACAGCAAGAATAATAAATGCCTCTTGTTAAGCCACCCAGTCTGCGGAGTTTTGCTGCTGCTGCCCTAGCGAATAAATAGAGTCACTCCCATCAGGAATCCTCATTCTCTGATTCGTCAGGTCAGTCTTCAAGGTTGTTTTTTCAAATCTCATTTTCACACGTATACATGTTCATACCCACTTATGTTCAGTTCAGTAACAAGGTTGGGTCAGCGCACGAGATGGGAGGAGGCAGGGGCCCCCTTGCTGGGGGAGGAAAGGAGAGAGGAACCGAGGAAAGGCAGGATGGTTCAAGGGCAGGGGCCCGGCAGGGCCAGGGGAAAAGAGGAGGCTGAGAAGGGAGGTGACGGTGGGCAGAGGTGAGGGGGAGGCCATGGGTCGGGGTCAGGGGGAGGCTAGGAAGCCCTCACCCGAGAATGTCCTCGAGCTCTGCAGCCAGCCAGTGATAATTTATGTCCAGTTTCTTCCAAGGCTTGAAGCGCCTCCTCTGACTGTCTACTAGGAAGTTAGCCACCTGCTTCGCGCACTTCACGCAGGGGCTCCACGACATGTACCAGGTGATGTGGTAACACTCGTCAGGGTGCAGCTTCATGTTGCAGAACCAAGACAGGAAGTGGAGTTCGGTGTGGCAGCGAGTCCCAGCATTGACCTGGGCGAGACGGAGGAGGAAAGTGGGGTTGTTCTTGGCGGCAGAGTGGGCCACGTGCCCGGGGCGGATGGTGGTGGGGAGGAGGGGTCAGGGGCCGGTGTCCCAGAGGCAGGTGGCTTCCTAGTTATCCCTTCTTTCCATCTGTCCCCTCCCTTCTTTTCTTCCTTAGATGTCCCTTCCCACAGTCATCTGCTCATCCATTCACTCCAACATCCATCCTCTTAAGCATTCATTCTACAAGTATCCTGAGTGCCAGCTTCGGGCCAGGTCCTCTTGGGTCCAGCTTGGTTCCCTGGGTGCTGTCTGCTGGGAGGCTCACAGAACTGCCCTGCACCTCGGGGAGCCCAGCTGCCACACACCTCTACAGAGCACCTGACGTACGGCTCGAGTGAAGGGAGACGTGTGGCAGGTGTGAAAATACACAGTTCAGGGACTTCCCTGGTTGTCCAGTGGCTAAGACACTGTGCTCTCAATGCAGGGGGCCAGGGTTCAATCCCTGGTCAGGGAACTAGACCCCACAGGCTGCAACTAAACAGATCCTGTATGCTGCAACTAAAAGAACATGCCACAACTAAGGCCTGGAGCAGCCAAATAAATAAATATTAAAAAAATAAAAAACACAGTTCATTTCAGTGACTTAGTATAAACAAAAAAAGAATGCAAACTATCTCATGAAGTTTTATATTAGTTATGCATTAGAAAATACATATAAGTCTATAGCTTAGATATACAGTCAATTCTCTGTATCTGAGGGCTGCTCATCTGCCAATTCAACCAACCATCTATTGAAGTTATTCAGAAAAAGGAAATTCCAGAAAGTTTAAAAAGGCAAAACTTGAATTTGCCCGGCTGGCAACAATTTACATAACATCTTGTTCATTTGCTAAGTTATATCTGACTCTTTATGACCCCATGGACAACAGCACTCCAGGCTTTCCTGTCCTTCACCATCTCCCAGAGTTTGCTCAGACTCATGTCCGTTGTGTCGGTGATGTCATCCAACCATCTCATCCTCTATAGTTCCCTTCTCCTCCTGCCCTCAATCTTTCTCAGCATCAGGGTCTTTTCCAGTGAGTCGGCTCTTTGCATCAAGTGGCCAAAGTATTGGAGCTTCAGTGTCAGCCTCAGTCCTTTCAATGAATATTCAGGTTTGATTTCCTTTAGGATTGACTGGTTGGATTTCCTTGCTGTCCAAGGGACTCTCAAGAGTCTTCTCCAGCACAATTCGAAAGCATCAATTTTTGGTGCTCAGCCTTCTTTATAATCCAGCTCTCATATCCATACACGACTACTGGAAAAACCATAGATTTGACTATATGGACCTTTGTTAGCAAAGTGATATCTGCTTTTTAATACACTGTCTAGGTTTGTCATATGCTTTCTTCCAAGCAGCAAGCGTCTTTTAATTTCCTGGCTGCAGTCACCATCCACACTGCTTTGGAAGCCCAGGAAAATAAAACCTGTCACTGTTTCCACTTTTTCCCCATCTATTTGCCACCAAGTGATGGGACTGGATGCCATGATCTTAGTTTTTTGAAAGTTGAGTTTTAAGCTAGCTTTTTCACTCTCCTCTTTCACTTAACATCTACACTGTATTTACAAATGTTTATGTAGCATTTACATTGTATCAGATATCACAAGTAAGCTAGAGGTGATCTGAAGTATATGGGAGAAATGTGTGTGGGTTATATGCAATTGCTGTGCCATCTTACATATGGAATTCAGTATCTGCAGATTTTCGTGTTACCAGGGGTCTTGGAACCAACCTCCCGCTCCATATAGAGGGATGACTGCATTGCCCAATACCTTATCAATATTAATTTCATCGGTTTCTCTTAACTTTTTGAATACTGGGTAGTAGAAAAAGTCAGATGACACGTGTGACTCGGATTATATTTTGATGGGGTAATAATGCTACAGCGCACATTCCCACCCCACCCAGCTCATGACAGCTGCTCAGGTAGGTTCTGAAAAGGCTGCAGGCGGGTGGGGGACATTGTGCAGGAGTGGTGAGAGGTTGACACAGGAGCCGCAGGGCAGTGGACTTATTAGGCACTGCTGATGCTGCGGTGGTCATCCAGGAGATCTGGCCCTGGGCTCAGAGGCAGCTGGGGGGCAGGCAGGTTGAAGGTTGTGGGTCTCCCCTGTGAGATCCCAAGCCCTAGGCACAGAAGAGGAATGGGTGTGGCAAGCGAGGCCCCGACCAGCAGAGCAGTTACTAGGGTCTGACAGGCACTGGAACACAATAGACAAGACTTCCTAAACAGGTCCTTGTTGTTGTTAAGTCACTAAGTTGTGTCCGACTCTTTGTGACCCCATGGACTGTAGCCCTCCAGGCTCCTCTGTCCATGGGATTTCCCAGGCAAGAATACTGGAGTGGGTTGCCATTTCCTCTCCAGGGGATCTTCCTGACTCAGGGATGGAACCTATATCTCTTGCGTCTCTCCACTGGCAGGCAGATTCTTTACCACCAAGCCACCAGGGAAGCCCATGTGCTTTCCTCCAAAGCTAAAGGCCAAGCTTGATGACAACTCAGAGACCCACCACCAGCAGACTCTCTAAACAAAGCCTGGTGGGATGTCAATTGCCATCTTGTATGAGGTTCCAGGAGCTCAAGTACAGACTTCACAGGCCAAGGACTTAGGAAAATGTATGGGAAGACACAAAATTCTCTGAGAGCCCCCAAATGACATAGGACTGTTTACAATTTTTTCCACATTATCAACTGGCCTTTGAACCTTTGTAATACCTGCGACAGAGGGACATCATTTGGGGGCTAAAATTTCATCCTGCTTTTGAAACAGGAACTAGATTTGAACTATGACCCGGGCACAGACATCGGACACTACCACTGCTGCATGCACGTGCTTGTGCGTTCAGTCGTGTCCGACTCTTTGTGACCCCGTGGACTGTAGCCCACCAGGCTCCTCTGTCCATGGAATTTCCAGGCAAGAATACTGGAGTGGGTTGCCATTTCCTTCTCCAGGTGATCTTCCCGACCCAGGGAACGAACCCTTGTGTCCTGAGTCTTCTGCATTGCAGGCGGATTCTTTACCACTTGAGCCATCCAGGAAGCCCCATCAATGCTATATCTGTGTTCTATTATTTATCTAGGCCCCATCATCCTTCTTGCAGGATCTTAGTTTTCCATGCCCCTTGCACTGGGAGCACTGTGTCTTAACCACTGGACTGCCAGGGAAGCCCCTATAACTGCATTTTTGATGAAAACCGGACGCCCTGCGAAAGGAATTTTCCTAATATCTGACATAACACAGTCTGAAAACCAATGAATGGCAGTTGTAATTATATCCCCCAGTCATAACTTTGGGAAAACATCTTGTGCAAGGATCTTAAAACTTCAACAGTTTGCCCATCCACTGCCCGCTCCTGGGCTTTTTCCCCCTTGGCAGGACACAATGCCAGCCGCACCTGAATCTGTGTTGCCTGCACTGCAAGTCTAAGGCACCAAATAAATGCAGTGAGAGTTTCCTGGGGCCCGTACCTGGTTATGAAAGACCCCCCAGTCGAAGGAGACATATGAGCGGTGTTTCCTTCTTTCCACCCGGTAGCAGATGTAGGAGCAGTTCCGCCCGTTGGCATAGAGCAGGTTGTGAAACTGGAAGTAAAAGGTATCAGGATCTAACCTCCGCACGTGGTTCCTGAAGTAAAACAGAGAAAAGAGAAAATGCAGAGAGCTCCCCGCCTCCACCCCCACCCCGGCATTCCTCCTGGTATCTCCTGAGCGCAATGCCCTGGCCGCCCTTGGTGCTCTGCTTCCCAGCAACCCGCCTGGGCCTGGGGGATTTCCTGCAGCCTTTGCAGCAGGAAGGAAGACTGGGTAAGAGGAGATGGTGCTGGGTCAGCAGAGTGGGTGACGCCTCCCCCTGGGGCCCAGGCTCTGCTCCTTCCTATAGCACCCTAATCCCCACTCCAGTTTTCCTGCCTGCCATTAGTAAAACATAAAAAAGTAATAAAAACCTCTCCACTACAAAATAATAGCCTTTGACTCAGTTCCATTCATTCCTGACTTTTCACTTGTGCATTTGTTTGTTTTAATTTTTATTGAAGTAAAGATATTTTATAACATTTTGTTAGTTTCTACGGTCTGGCAAAGTGAATCAGCTCTACACATACATGCATCCCCTTTTTTGGATTTCCTAACCCATCACAGCATACTGATTAGAGTTCCCTGAGCTATGCAGTAGGTTCTCCCTGGTTATCTATTTTATACATGGTATCAATAGTTGTTTCATTTTTTTTTTTTTTTACATTCTGTATTGTGTTTTATTTTTATTTTATTTTTTTCCATTTATTTTTATTAGTTGGAGGCTAATTACTTTACATCATTGCAGTGGTTTTTGTCATACATTGAAATGAATTAGCCTGTTTCAGTTTTTTAATGTGAGGTTAACACCTAAATTCACCAGATCAGGCTACTGTTTCAAGTGCTTTCTGTATCTGAACTCATCAACTCCTCCCCAAAATCCCACGGGAGCCAAGCCCATTTTATAGAGGAGGAAGCAGGGACACAGAGCAGGCAAGTAGCCCGCCCAAGTCACACAGCAGTGAGTGATGGAGCCAGGGCCCTGACCGGACCAGGCCATTTCCAGCTGTGCCATTCTGTGACCTTGCAGCCATGTGAAGTCTTGGATGTGGCTTTCTTTCCTACTCAGTTTTAAAACAGGAGCATTTCCCCTTATCTTTCCTCGATTCTAGGCAGTTATAAACGTGAAGCGTGGTCACCTAGGTTGTGGCCAGGTTGCAAACCATTTAGTGGTTTTATTTAAATCAATGGTTGTAGATAAAACCATTTATTTTTCTGCTCAGAGCTGAGGTATCCTTGGAAGAGGGGATGTCTCTACTTGCCTCAGAGAAGTATTCTCACACTTACAGTGGTCTAAACAGTAGAGAAAATGGATCAGAGTGCTGTAAACATGATCCACCAGCTGCTTAAGCCATCCTTTGGCCAAATTCTAAGTGTTCATAGAGGGTGCAGGCGGGAAGGGAACTGGCCCGACAGCATTTCAGGCTGAGAGCTGGGCCAGAGGACCCTCAGAGAGGCGTGGTGGTGTGGGAGGGGCCAGTTCAGAAGCAAGAGGGGGCGCCCCCTCCCCGGAACAGGGCAAAGACTCCAAGTGGGAGAGGATCCTTTCAGAAAAGGTGCCAGAGGGGAGAAAAGGAACGGGGCTGGGGCTGCAGAGACTTCAGGGAGAAGGCGGCTGAGGGACGGGACACAGCCCTAGGGACCTCGGGAGAGGGGGCCCAGTGGCCAGAGCGGGCGGGCAGCGGTACCTGATCCAGGGCATCTGGCTGTAGCCCCGGTAGGCTGGTTGCAGCCCTGGCCTTTGTCTTGAGTGCGGGGGCTCCATTTCCTCTCCCAGGACTCTCGGGTAGAAAAACCCCTTATCTGTGAATGACCTCCCAGGCCGGCTCTGCGGAAGCCCGCCCTCCTTCCTGCTTTGGCACCGGGGGTGGGAGGAGGGCCCTGGGGGGGAGGGCCCCGGGGTGCTTTGCTTCCTCAGGCTCAGACCCACCTTCCCCTGGGCCCTCCCTCTTGGCTGAGCTCAGCCTCTGATGGGGCCAGGCCCCTCCATGGGGTAGGACCTGACGTTACTGCAAAGGGAAAGAGAAAGTAAAGATGCCCGAGAGGGGGATGGGCCAGACCCTGGCTGAGGAGAGCAGACCGAGGCCTGCTCCCCCTGGGGGAGGGCAGGCTGGATCCCTCTCCACCCTACCCGCTCACCCAGCCCAAGCCTGCACCTAGCTCTCCACCTGCCTGTTGAATGAATGGACGCCATGGGGGAGTGTGGCCCTTCTGAGGTAGGAGACAGGTGGGCCCCAGGTTGGAAATTTACAATAAGCCACCCTTCTGCTTGCATTTCCTGAGATAAGAGATAGGTGGATTCCAGTTAAGGAATTGACAGGGTCAATAGCCAGTCTTCGTCTCTTACCTCAAAGCAATAATCACGGCAAGGACAACGAAAGGAGAAAACCCTGTCTGACAGAGGAGACCCTACACACGTGCAGAAAGTCTCCTTGGAGTCAAGAAAGAAAGTAGAAAAGAACTAGTCACTCAGTCGTGCCTGACTCTTAGCGACCCCATGGACTGTAGCCCGCCAGGCTCCTCTGTCCATGGCATTCTCCAGGCAAGAATACTGGAGTAGGTTGCCATTTCCTTCGCCAGGAGATCTTTCCGACCCAGGGCCACCAGGGAAGCCTTGGAATCAAAAGTCAGAGGATAATTCCAGGCCATAATGAGTCTTGCTCCTCCCAGAAGCCTTCACTTCAAGATCCAACTTGGCTAGGGTGTGCGTGTGCACCCCAGGGGAGGGGCCCGAGACAAATTAACCAGGGAGGACAAAGTAAGGTGACTGGCTTGAGGGAAGACATAGACCCGGAAAACTGCCCTTTTATGAAGGATTTATTATAAAGGATTTAAACTTCCCAAAGGTGTGAATTTCTCTCTCTCTGAGCTCTCCCCTGTGCTTTTCTGAATGTACTGCCCCAGGGTTTCAACATACAGATTTGCACACAGATGTTCACTGTGTACAAGCGACACAGATTTTTAGCCCAGACCAGCCCGTGACCCACAGGATTGCTTTGGTTGCCTCCTGGACAATAATGGTGTAATATCGCTCTCAATATGCTAGTTGCTGCTTTACACCCAGAGCTGAAACTGCGGTGCACCTGTCTTCCCAGAGGTTGTGTTCATTGCTACAATACCTCACCCGGAGGCCTGGAACGTGGCTCGTTTTAGCTGGGGTCCTGCTGCCTTTACAGGATCGACATCTCCTTGTGGGAATAAAATGCCTTACTTGGCACTAACTGTCAAACTGCTTTAAAAAAAAAAAAGATTTACCTATTTATTTGGCTGGGAGAGGTCTTGGTCGCAGCATGCGGGATCTAGTTCCCCAACCAGGGATGGAACCTGGGCCCCCTGCCTTGCAAGTTCACAGTCTTAACCACTGGACCATCAGGGAAGTTCCCAAGTTGTTTTCTAAAGCTCTCTGCCAGCAGACATCTCCAGGAGAAACAGTAAAAAATGGTAATAGAAATGGTAAAAAAATGTTACCATTCTGAGAGAGTCAATTCCTAGACAGATTGATAACAAGTCCAAGGTCCCCAAGGAGGAGAAAGGGGGACTGGGGCTCTCGAAGCAGAGATTGGGGGTCTGGCATTATCAAGGAGGAGAAAAGGACAAACTTTTTTGCCCTCTACATTCCTTAGTCTTAGTCAATTACACAACTCAGTTTAAACTCTGTACCAGGTGCCAGGGTCCAGCCTCGGCAGGATCCAAGGGGTACCCTCAAGATGAACGGCGTTGGCGAGAGAGAGAGAGGACACGTGAGACCAGCCTTGATAGGGCCAAGTCTGCGAGGGAGAGAAAGAGAAAGAGAGAGAAAGAGAGAGTGACCAGACGGGGGATGCAGCAGGGTCTGGCAGAGTCTGGCAATGCTTTATTTTTTACCGTAGCTTTTATACCCTAAGTTAGTGCATCTCTAAGGGGAAGATAGTTTAACATTACATCAGCTTGTTCTTCATGAAACCAGGGTGTTTTCTGCATACTTCTTTGTTTATGAGGGTCTTGTACTTTATCTTCTGGCCTTGGGGCCCATTAACATTTTATGTGGGTCAGGTGAATGTAAACCTATTTTCCGTTTCTGTGGTGACCTTAACTGAAAGGTAGCAGTCTCATAGGGCAACAGTACAGAGTAGAAGTATAACCTTGTTAACGTAAAAATTAATCCTTCTGCAGAAGTTGTCAGTTGAGTTTATCTAAGAAGTTTACCCCACACTGACTCTGGGACTTTGGTGAGGCAGCCTCTGCCTAGCACTCCTGGGTGACAATTGACAACCATCTCATTGTTACCACACTAGGGCTAAGCCTTTATTTTTCTAGATCTATAACTATATTAACAATATAACACAACCTTAGCACAGTAAGAGCAAAAACACAGCAAGCAAATGTTAACCCAATAGCTACTTTTAGAATAATTTTTCTTGTGTTTTCTAATAGGGCTTCCTCACCCCCCAGAGGGCTCTATGTCTATTAGGGCCTTTGTATGATCAGGTTCTTTATGTTATTTTATGATTAGGGTATTATAAGCAATCATGCATATTAGTACCAAGGGCATAAACGCATTTGCCAAACAAACTAATATACCAGCAAAGGAATTCAAATTAAAACATTCCTTTCACCCTGGATAATCTCATAAAATACCACCACCCAGGAAACTTAATGATTAAAGTTCTAAATTGATTCTTATTTGGAAAGAGATCGAGGAAGGCTTTCTGCCTGTGTCACAGAAATTAGGGAGTAGCCTATTGAAGCAAGCATCAGAAAGACAGATATCATCTTTAAGGTGAGCACAGAGGGCAGCTTTTCGGAATCCCTGAAAACCTGATCCGCCTTGCCTGTCAGGTTTTTCTTCTCATGACCTTGTCACGGGTGGGATCTTGTGTGCCGGCTCCCGGCAACCAGGGATTATACAACAACAATGTATCCGTCTGGAGGACAGTTTCTTCTTCCTGAAAACCTTCTGACTAATCTTGATATTTTAGAATGTATATTATGGGAGTGGGTCTGGAGGATCTTTCTATTGTTAAATTCTAATCGTGTTATCCTAAAATGTAAATTGTAGGAGTTGATCTGGTAAAATTTTCACAAACTTGAGACATTCGTTTGATTCATTGTAATAACTAATTAGAAGTTATATAACTTCATTGCTAACACAGGCAAGGGGGTACTCTTTCTGCCCCTTTCTGATGTCTTTGTCAGAAGCTTTCTCTATCCCTTTTACACTTTAATAAAACTCTATTGCACAAAAGCTCTGAGCGTTCAAGCCTCATCTCTGGCCCCAGATTGAATTCTTCTCTTCCGGAGGCCAAGAATCATGGCGTCTTTTCGTGGGTCAGCAACAACCTTTCAGTTCCCTGTATTTTCACCAATACTGGTGTTATGAGACCTCTCATTTCCCCAACCTGATGGAATGTGAAAAGCTATCTCATTGAGGTTTTATTTTATATTTTCCATTTCTAGGGAGATCAAGTGTCTTTTCATAATTTTCTGCCCCTTTCTAGAATTGTTGGCTGCATCCTTTGTCTGTTTTCTAGTAGGAAGTTTGTCTTTCCTTATTGCATTATAAGAATTTTTTAATATTCTGCATAGTAATCCTTTGTCAGTTATACACATTGCAGATACTCTCTTTCAATCTGTGACTAGGCTCTTAGTTCATGAAGTCTTTCTGTAGGTAGATGTTTTAATTTTTAATGTTTTCAAATATATCCGTTTTTCCATGCGTGTGTATGATATGAGGCAGATATCTAATTTAAAAAAAAAATTTCATTTCTTGGCCATGCTGCACGGCATGCAGGATCTTAATTCCCTGACCAGGGATCAAACCTGTGCCCCACGCACTGGAAGCTCAGAGTCTTAACCACTGGACTGCCAGAGAAGTCCCAAGAACATTCTTCTAAGATAGGGAAATAAATATTACACGTCCTGTATCCTTTATTTTGGGCTGTGCTGGTTCTTCGTTGATGCATGGGCTTTTTTTCTAGTAGTAGGGGGTAGGGGCTACTTTCTAGCTGCATTGCAAGGGCTTCTCATTGTGGTAGTTTCTCTGGTTGCGGAGCTCAGGCTCTAAAGCACACAGGCTCCAGCAGTTGCAGCATGTGGGCTCAGTAGTTGCAACTCCCAGACTCGAGAGCACAGGCTCAATCAAGAGTTGTGGCACATGGGAAAAAAAAAAGTTGTGGCACATGGGCTTAGTTGCCCTGAGGCATGTGGGATCTTCCTGGATCAGGGATCGAACCTGTGTCCCCTCCATTGACAGGCAGATTCTTAACCGCTGAGCCACCAGGGAAGTCCATAAGTCCTATATTCTTTAAGTCTTCCTTGGCATGAATATTTGTTAACAACTTAGTTATGACTTTTCGCATCTATGTTTATAAAGAAATATGGGTATAGCTTTTCTTTCTCACATTCTTCTTACTCAGTTTTAAAATCAAGATTATTGTAACTGCTCAAAATCAATTGGGGGAGGTTTAACTTTTTTTTCTTATTTCTTTAGAAAGTTTAGTTCTGATCCTTACAGGGTTGATTGAACTCAGCATAAAACTTTCTGGGCTGGTAACATGATATGATTGCTTTTGTGACCTTTTAAACTAATAATTGCATTTCTTTAAATGGTTTAGGGTTAACTCGTGTGTTCGTTTTCTTTTGGCATAATTTCCATCATTTTTTTCTAGAAAGTTGTTCATTCTGCCTCATTTTTCAGATCTATTGGTATGTGTTCATAGTATTCTCTTCTGACTTTTTATACTTCTATAAAAGGTACAGAGACTTTTTATGGTGTCTATAACTATGACTCCATTTTACTCATAATGTAGTTTATTTTTGCTTTCTCTCATTTTTGAAGAGATTTTTCAGCTTTGTCAGCTTCAG